AAACACATTTCAAGGAAAACCGATAGGCCTGTTGTCATGAAACTCACAGGAGTAATCTATCTTACTAAAACCCAGGCTGAAAAGTGAAAAAAACAGCATAACTTCTACAATAATGGCCCGATCATGCTGATTTTCGAACTTGACCTGCTTTTTATGAATATTCATCAGCTCTGTAAATATTAAGACAAAAAGTAAAACTGCCCTCCACTTATCGTGTTTACAAGGCAGCGGAATCGGCGACGGCGACGACAGACGCAGGTGATGGCAATATGTACAGACACATCTGTGTCTGTACATAAAAAACCATGTCACTTACTGTTCTCAAACTTACAGGAAAGAAACATGGGACTAAAATATAGCTTCAGTAGGCAATGCAATCTGCCAGTTAAACAGTTTTTTTGTGAAATTTTAATTTTTCACATATTGACATTTTCAAGGTGTGACTTTGAAGTTCCACAGGCTTGAAGACCCATGCTTGTCACATTTTCTGAAAATCCATGATACGTATATTTTATCNCAGCCCGAGTTGGAAAAGCAGTCTAATTGACTTCCTTTTCTGGAAGTTTTACATTTTCAAAGGGTGAACTTGAACTCCCATGGGCCTGAAGCTTTATGTTTGTTACACATTTTACTTACATTGGTATTACCTGTTGAGCATAATTAGAATTTGATGTTGAATTTGCAGTTTAACATAATGTACTTTTGCATCAGAATTGACAGTAGCCTATTTTGTTATTTCCTACTTTTTGTCTGTACATTTGACTGCTTTGCTGCCTTGTATATGTAGACAGTAAAATTTTAGACTAATTTGATATGTGTGTGTGTGTGTGTGTGTGTGTGTGTGGTGGGGGGTGCATGTATCAACATCATTAAAATAGGAAACAAGAGGTAATAATAATAATAGAAAATGTTTACTGCTACTAGGTCCACAAACTTAACACAGTATCTGATAATGTTTTCAAGTAACCCCAAGACTACACCCTCAATACCTTGCACAGGGAATAGTCTGCCATGGACTTCTACAACTTCCACTGAGCCAAAGTAGTCAGTGAATAAGGTTGTGTCCACAGTGGCGGACATAATGACAATACGGAGATCGTTGTAAACATGGACCATGTCTCGTAACATCACCATCAAGAAATCAGTCTGCAAATAGACATTTTACACTTTATTATTGTTTTAAATATGAAAATGTAAGTTTTATTTCTATCATTTAAAAAAAAAACATGAAACCAAGTAAAATGGAAAATACTAATTACTAAATAATTGCACAATTATATAGCCATTCAGGTTTTTTTGGATTTGATAAAATAGTTCAGTACTTTTTGCCTAACACTTTCCATTTTTTAAATCAATGTAAAATGTAACTAAAAAAATGGATTCAGTTTTAAAAACTGATATCTCTCTTTCACAATAAGAAGTTTTCAAAGTAAGAAGTTAATTGATTAAATATATGTGAAGATATTTTGGTATGTAGCATTTCTTACATTAAGATCCCTTTCATGTACTTCATCCACAATAACATGGGAAATGCCTCGCAAACCATTCTCCAGTTTTCTCAGTAATGTGCCTTGAAATAAAGTGACTGCATTTAAAAATTTCATAATAATATGCTCTCTTCATCGCCTTTATTTAAAGTAAGTTTCTCGAATATTGTTTAAACATTAATTCATTCTAATAGCAATTTTCAGATTTTTACAAATTTAATTCAAAAGTAATCATCACACAGTACATGTCATGATCATAATAGACTTTAAATAGTAGGTCATATTTCATCAAAACAGCTGTCTTTCTCTGTAAGTTAATTTTAATAAAATTATGCACACATGTGTTTTAAGCACCTAGAGTTAAATAACTTACCAACAGTACAGTATAAGATGGCGCCATATGGTCGTGGCAGCACAGATTCAAATCTCACACTGTAGCCACAACTCACACCAAGGTTTTCTGACCTCTCATTGGCTACTCTTTCTGCAATGGACACTGTGCTGATTCTTCTGGGCTAGGAAAAAAAGAATATAAACACACAATGAAACAAAGCAGAAAATATATTTTCATGCATCCAAGTTAAAAAAATGTGGCATTTTGAAAGAAAAAAGTTATTTAGTTTCAATATCTTTTTAAAAAACATTTTCTATCATTTTCCACAACCATGCAGTTGTATGCTATTTGACCAACTTGAATCAAATGAAAATTTTAATTATCTATCCATGCACAAAGCTCTGAGTATATATTGATCCATAACTCGTGTAAGTACCATAAGCACATATCATGATTTTCAGCATTAATTATTATACACATACATGTATGTTGAGAAGGCAAGAACTCATCAGTACCCCTTCCCCCAATCCCCCCCCCCAATACAAATACAAAGGTATAGGACAGACCAAAAGTTCAAATGTAAAAATTAAGGTACTCAATTATCTATCTTAAATATTAAAGCAGATTTTGAGGGCAATCACATGAGGGCAACTTATTCACTCCAAATAAAAAAGCAGTGCAGTAAGGACTAAACAGATAGTCTGACCTCACAGTAATTTGAAACTTTTTTGTTTGCCTGTGTCTCTGTCATGTAACATTAGTGCCAAAACAGCGACTGATGAACAATGTAATTTGACACTGGATTTTGTATAGTGGTGATCTCAAGGGTTAAACAAATAAAAATTAATCGACTAACCAACAAAGCCTTTGGGGTTGCTTTGGTGGTTTAATAATAACAAACAAAATGCTATATAGAATTTTCATTGTCACATAGACAAAAGGTATTTTGTTATCAATCATGTTGTGCAGGTTTATCATATATGTCAAATTCCAATCCTCTTCCCCAAAACCCATGACAATTGTCGTAAAACTATAACGATAATCAAAACGCATGACTATCCTATAACAACAATCGCAAACAGGTCATGGTATATTGTATCCCCACTGGGTGAACATTGGGTGCTGAAATGTCATGTAAATAGTAACGGGAATTTCCACTTTGATGAAATGGAAAGGAGTGATTTTACAATATTTTGCCTTGTTACATTGTTATAAAAATCACACATTTAAGTAAAAATATTCAGACACTTTCTTGAGGACCCAGAGATGGTGAATTGGCACAAAATTTGATCAAACTGTCACAGACAGTTTCTTAAAATTCACCTGTAGAAAGAGAAGCAAAAAGGAAGGTGAGTCAACTTCCATTGTTTACAGCTAAAATTGTTGAATGTAACAAAACCTGTTTGAGACCAGGTGCTATGCATATAGGAGAGGATAAAACCCTAATAACTAATATTTAACTGTAAGAACATATGGAGATAATGGCAGTGCCAAATAGCAATGCACTTAATGGTGATAATAAAATGGGGTAACATATACTGTATTTACTGGATTCAGATATAATTTTGGCATCATTTTGTTCCACCCCCGCGATGAAGGAAGATATATGTTTTATTGGCATTGGTTAGTTTGTTTGCAGAATTCAAACCTAACGAAATCAATAAAAATATTGAAATAAAACCTGATACAGTAGTGAAATTACTGATCTATGAAATGTATTTATTTTATAAGTGTACAATCAATCCAGTCCAATCAATCCAACCAAAAAACATTATACTTTGAAGAAGTAAAAAAAAGGCCTGTACCTCATCAGACCAGCTCTTCTGAATCAAAATATCTTTTACATATACATGTTTACATATACATGTTTACATTGGCTTCAATTTTTAAATAAATCTATTTTTCAAATAACTATGAATGAAAAAAAAAAAAAAAAACCCTGTCTCCATAGTTGACATTTCACACATGAAACACCAATGTGCCAGTTAAGAAAACCTGTCATTTTTTATGAAACTGAAATGAAGATGTTTTTGCCAGCACAGGAAAATTATATACCCAGTTGATAGATGCATGTACCCAATTGTCCTAATCTCTCTTGCAGTCATCTAATTGACCAGACATGGATTACCTTACCACTGACAGTACTGAGATTTATGGCAAGTGCGAAAGTGTACAACAAGTACATGACACAATGCTCATAAGAATAAGAGATGAGCTGACAACTATTAACTTTGATAATATCAAACAACATCTAAGGAAGCCATTAGGGGCTGGTGTATCAGAAGAAAATGACAAGCTGACACTTCTCAACCGCCTTGAAGAAAAAAGAATCATCACTTTGGGAAAGTATGATGCCCTTAAGAAGCTGTTCACAAGAGCTGAATGCCCCAGATTGTGTGATACCATTAAGGAGGCTGAAAAGCGCATTCAACGATTAGAAAAGAGGACCAGGAAAAAAAGGAAAAAAGACA